TGCTGTTGCTGCTGTTGTACCTGCTGCTGCTGCAACTGCAGCAGCTGCTGCTGCTGTTGCTGCTGCTGCTGCTGCTGCTGCTGCAGTCCTCCTGCGCTGAGAGGCGCTGTCTCACGGTGGCTCAGCAACACCTGCAAGGTCCGCTGCTGCAGCTGCTGCAGCTGCTGCTGCTGCAGCTGCTGCAGTTGCTGCAGCTGCAGCTGCTGCAGTTGCTGCTGCAGCCCCTGCAGCTGAATTGCTGTTGAAGTGGAAGCACCCGCCTGCTGCTGCTGCTGCTGCTGCTGCAGCTGCTGCTGTGGCTGCTGCAGTTGCTGCGGCGGTAGCAATGCCGCTTGCTGCAGGGCTGCTGCTTGCTGCTGCTGCTGCTGCTGCTGTTGCTGCTGCTGCTGCTGCAGTTGCTGCTGCTGTTGTGCCTGCTGCAGGCGCTGCAGCGGAGGACGAACCGCAACGGCTATGAGCTGTGGCTCAAGCTGCTGCTGCGGCAGTTGCTGCTGCTGCTGCTGCAGTTGCTGCTGTTGCTGCTGCTGCGGTTGCTGCACTGTGAAGGATTCCTGGCGGTCAGCAGAGTCTGCACTTTGCTGCTGCTGCTGCTGCTGCTGCTGCTGCTGCTGCTGCCATCGCGCGTTTGTGGATTGTTGCAGGTGCTGCTGTTGCCGCCGCACGTTGGCCAAGCACGAGCTGCTGCATATTCTCTGCTGCTGCTGCTGCTGCTGCTGCTGCTGTTGCTGCTGCTGCTGCTGCTGCTGCTGCTGGGGCTGGGGCGGCGGCTTGAGGAGATAGGCGTAGGCAGCAGCAGGCTCATCGCTCATAGATAAGTAACGCAGCAGCAGCCGCTGCATGCCCGGCGTCAACTCTGGTAGATCCATGCTGCTGCTGCTGCTGCTGCTGCTGCTGCTGCTGTTGCTGCTGCTGCTGCTGCTGCTGCTGCTGTTGATGCATCTACTGCTGTTGCTGGTGCTGCTGCGGTGTGCGAGCACAAGCGCCATAGTGTGTACTACAGGAGTGCTGGTGCTGGCAGCTGTTGCAGCAGCAGCAGCAGCAGCAGCAGCAGCAGCAGAAGCTGCTGCTGCTGCTGCTGCTGCTGCTATCAGCCAGCCTCTGGCTGTGCTGTATTCATTGCTGTTTTGTCTATCATTTATTTTTTTTCTGCTGCTACTTTTTGCTGCTGCATGCATGCGCTGCTGCTGCTGCTGCTGCTGCTGCTGCTGCATGCGCAGCCTGTCGGCAGCAGCCCCCCTAGCAGCAGCAGCAGCAGCAGCAGCAGCAGCAACAGCAGCAGCAGCAGCAACCGGTTAAACATATCAAACTAGAATATAAAGATGTTTCATTAGGAGCTCATTTGTGTTGCTTCTTCTCTAACGGAAGGCAGCAGAACCAGCTGCTGCTGCTGCTGCTGCTGCTGCTGCTGCTGCTGCTGCTAGCCGGCTGCTGCAGCTAGGCTTCTGCTGCTGCTGTTGTT